AAGGCAACACCAGGAGACCTGACTGGTTCTCCCTGGCCAAAAGTCTGCTGTTCAGATAAAATTGTTCTTTTATTCACAAATCAGAGACTATATACATCTCCAAAGGCCACAGAGAAATACAGTAAAGAGTTTAGTTGGTATGTCTGTAGAGGGCCTTTTTCTGATTAATTTTTGTGATAGGAGTAGGACTGTATTGACTTTAGTAACTTAGAGACAGAACATATCAGGCCTATGAAATACAGTTTGATAGTGTTGATCATTTCTGGAATACTTAATATTCAGTGAGATATTCTCAACTTTTTCAAGCTGGCAATATTGAATGTTTCAAAGCTCACTTTGTGCGTTATCAGAAAGGTGCCAAAATGTGACAAACACTATTCCCCTGTGTGCTTCAGAAAGGAGACTAACCCAGAGTTTCTGTGAGCTGTTGTTAGTATGAATGCAATTAGATCTGTGCAGAGAAATTAGACCTATATAGCAGAAGTGAGGTAGTATATAGCTTTCAAATTACTTTTCCCTTTGCCAAATTGGCAGTGGTAAAATTCTCTATTTTCACTATTTTAAAAGCCCAAAGACTCTGACATGTCTTAAGCCTGTTCTTTGGTCCAGCTTGTAAAATAGAAGAGTCACATCTAAATCAACATGACACTTGACAATACCTCTCATCATAAAAGAAAAAAAAGACATGAGATGTTTGCATTTATATTTAGATATGAAAGCCCTTTTTAAAAAATGTGTCCTCATGGAAGGCTGATGTTCACAAGTCTGAAGGCGGGGTTTTAAGGAGCTGGGTGATAAAGAGATAAACTGACACGTGAAGCAGAGTTAGGCCATGCAAGCTTCCTAGGTAAAAATGGAAGCTTTTAAGGGGATTCTGAGCCACAGGGCTTTGAAAATTGTCCATTTCTCTTTTAACAGTTTGTCATTTTGACTGACCAACACAAATATCTTGGGTTTTTTCTTACAACTTTGGCTGCAAGGCAATTGACTTTTTTTTCTTCTTTACAAAATACCTCAATGCCAGTCAGGCCAAGTAGAGAGACTATCAATAGAAATGTTTTTGTCTTCTTGCATTATTGCAGTTGTATTGTATGTACTTTGACAGAGGCAATCTAAAACATACATTTGCTGTCATCTAAACAATTATTTGGAGTTTTGGCTGCAGGTTTAAGGTCCTCTTACATCTGCAATGTGAATTTTCAGTTCAGTTCCAACTCTTTTGCAGCCTCCTGGAGATGTCCTCCAGTACTGAGCTTTACTTAGCTCCATCCGTTGTCCCATCACATGTTGAAATATCACATGACCCTGCTGGACGAAAGCATTTCCACAGCAATGATGCCTCCACAACAGTTTATTACAAATGGGTCAATAAACCTCAGTTTGACCAGAGAACCTACATGGTTTGTTGCTTCCACTTTGGCTTGTGGTAAATTATAATTGGGAGCTTTACACATTGTTGTATGTTTGCTCCTCAGTGATTCCATCTTTAAAATGATAGATTGAAAAGTGCTCCATAACTTTTGCCAATAGTAGCTAAAATTGATATTAAGAACTAAAATGTGTATGTGCTATAATAATCAGTCTTAGAAGCTTTAATGGTTTTTTATAAACAACAGAATGACACTAATAGAACCAGAAATGTTTTTACAGCTCCTTTTACTTAAATTAACTTGGAAACTTTGTTTTATTACCATTTTTTGCATCCAATAATACCCAATAGAAGAAAATCTATGCTTCATATTTTTGCATCATTCTAACTCCTTTCTTAGACCTTCACGGAACAGGGAATCAGAGCAAAACAAATGTGGCACACTCTTCTGATTTTATTGTTCTAAAAAATGAGAATGTTTTAATTTTATTTCCATCCATTTCTTTCCGCTTAGTCCTTGTTAGGGTTGCAGTGGGACCGGTGCCCATCTCCAGCAGTCTGAGCGAGAGGCTGAACAGGTTGCCAGTCTGTCACAGGGCAACACAGAGACACACAAAGACATACAACCATGCACAGACACACACACACCTAGGGACAATTAAGAGAAGCCAATTAATCCAACAGTCATGTTTGTGGACTGTGGGAGGAAGCCGGAGTACCCGGAGAGGAACCCATGCATGCACGGGGAGAACATGCTAACTCCATGCAGAAAGAACCCGAGACAGGAATCTCACCCAGAACCTTCTTGCTGGAACAATGCTGCACCGTGCAGCCCACTTTTATTTCCTGTTATCTTCACACCAACTGTTCCCAAAAACATTATTCTGACCCTAAAACTATGATTCATTTTACCTCCATTCAACAATAACAGGCAGTCACATCGGAGCGTTACATAAAAGAAAAATAAACCTGAACTGTATATAATGAGTCAAAATGTAAAGGGGTATAATTATATTCTGGAAACCAGTAGAATCCCAAAAAGCTTCCCAGGAGTGGGATCAAGTCACGACGTAATAGGACCCAGAAGATATTCAATTTGAAGTCCTAAAAAAATCACAATAAGTGATTTCTGAAACAATGGCACGAGGAAAAGATGTGAATCAGCATTTAATTTTTGATATCTTACTAGTGTGCTGTCATTTTCTTTAAATGAATGAGATCAAGTTACTTCAAGAAAACATGCTTAAGTTAAAGTCTCCAGTCTGAATGTAACCAAGTCAGACAACCTAGTCAATCTGACTAGATTCAAGTGATCAAAGCAACAGGCTTTAACATCCTTTATAAGGTAGGAACACTTTAAATGAGAACAGTATGCTTACAGAACTGAGCATTTTAGATTATTACTTTAGGGTGACTCACTCCTGTTTCCAGCAGCCAAGATATTAATGGCTGTGCCTCAAGTTATCTTTAAGGGGACAGAAAATCTAAACTCTTACACAAGCTGTACACAGACTACTTTACATTAAATCAAAGTGTCAGATCTTCAGTGTTGTTACAGGAAAAAAGATATTAAATATTTACAAAACTCTGTGGGGTCCACTTGCTTTTGTGAGAAACTGCATAACTTTATAAATATGGCAAACATAAACACATTATTCTAGTAGCATAGAAACAACTTTGGTTTCTTGCAGCTTGTGTTTCAACATCTGACTGAGATGGATCCTAAAAGATGGCGTCCCTTCATAAAATAGGAGGAATTTCTCTGTGTAGTGTTAACGCATCTCAGGGCGTTACCAGTCAAAGGCTTTACCGACTCAGCTTAGTGGCTGTCTGTTGGGTTCAAGGTAAACATGACTTGTAAAAGAACTTTGTAATCAGGCTGTTAATCTTTACAGACATCCAGAAATGCAACAGTCACATGAGTCATCTACACCAGTTTTTTTAGGGCTATGTCAATCTTAGCTGGTGTAGCTTCTTTAAAGTGTTACATGACTTTCTGATCTTCCATTGTAAACAAAAGCAGTATGACTTTCCTATTAATTTGGCCCATGTGTAGCCTATATGTATATATCATTTTGGCTCATATGACTCACTACCCAGGGTGGCATTATTTCAAAGGGTGGCAGGAAAAAATGGGATAAGGGTTGCCCTAGTTGTATGGGAGTGTTTGTTGTAGAGTTGAGGTCCAAACTCTGCAATTTACAAGACTTAACCATCTCAAATGATCTACTCAAACAAAACGGCTGAAAAATAAACTAAACATAAAGCCACTCAGAAATGATCTAGAATCAGAGTTTAGAGTTATCGTTATATATGCATGTAGCACATATAACTCAAAGAGTCAATGCTGAGAGAAGGAGGGAGTAAAGACAACAGAATATCTGTCTGCGTTTAATAATAAGCACATTCAAAGGTCTGAAATTCCTGAAATATAAGATTCATAGGACCAGATAGCCTCTGCCCTACATAAAATAGTGACGTGATTCTGCTCTTCTAATAACACATATTTAATGATCTGAAAGATTTAAACCTGATTGAAAAAGAAAAACCAAAAGAGGAAATTTTGAAGCTGGTAAATACATTTCACAGTGCAGAGAACAAATATTGCTCGGTTCAAAATTTAAATATAAGACATTATAAACAAGCTAAACATAGATTAATTAAAAAAATTGACAATTACTGAAAAGTTACAGGAAAAAACAAAACAATCCAGATTATCTAAGCCTAGAGGCACTCAGCAAAGGATCACATTGTCAAAAATAAAAGTAGCAGGGCTAACCCCATACCCTCCTCCACCTCATATACACGATTAGATTTTTTTTACAATATCCAAGTAATACTTTTACAAAACTGTTAAAACTGTTGAGGGCTTTACTGTGGCTCCACAGTAGAGCCCTATCCGTTTTATTTTTTCCTCAGTGCTTCAAGCTGAAGAGCAAGAAGATGATGAATCTATGCAGAGGGCTGAGGCTGTAGAGGGTCCAGATGATCTGGAGACTGAAACTGCTGCAAAGGAAAGTATTTTACTTCCACCTGCAGCTCATGCATGGATCCTTCTAATGCTGGGCTGACTGGGGAAGATAAAGCTGCTGCCTCAATGATCTGTCCATCAGAAGCAAATATGGAAAATCAGAGAGATTTTCTTAAAGAGACTGAAGATCCAATATTGGGATCATCAAAAGAGGCTGAACCGGTACCCTCCTCACTAGCAGTTGCGTGAGCAGGAACCTGAGGCTGGAGCAGATGTGTGATTCCACAGACGTGAAGAACTTACAGAGCTGGATCGGAGGTGAAAGCCTCCTAAGGAAGCCTTTCTCTTGGTGTGAGCCACGTGACACAAAGGAAACCCCCTTTCTGTTAGCCTGTCGTGCAAAGCTTACTGCTGGAAAGAACTCAAACCTTCCAAAACTTACACGGGCAGAGGGCCCGAAGAAACTAAGGTTCTGATTCTGTAACTGAAGTGGACCTCCAGGCTGTAGGTCATCTAGAATTGGCAGAAGCTTTCAGGGGGTCTCAGAGTCGTTATTAGTGAAACCAAAACATATAGAAGAAGAAGACTTGAAAGAACAGACTTTTTATGAAGTTTTATTTTGAAAGACCTTAAAGTGTCATTTTATTTTCTGGCATTTTTCCACTAATGGTTGCTGAAAATCAAACCCGTTGCATTTATCCGTAAAATGTAGAAAAAGCTGACTGATTTTCTACATCATGTCTTCTAGAATAAACTGTCGTTTAAATAAATTTGAAAAATGGACAATGTTTCAATTTTTTTCTAAAGGAATGTCTAATTCTGCGCACATGACAACAATATCTTAAATAAACTCAAGCCTCGCTTTTGCTGACGTTCTTGAATGCTCAAGAGTTTGCAGGTGTGTGTGGTTTGCGCTGGCTTCCCTCTGCTTTCTGTTTCTGATGTTATTTCTTGATTTTAAGTGGTTGTCACACATGTTCTTATGCTTCCAGTTGTGTTGACAAAACTTGCAGAAAAGTTGCTCTCCAGATTCATAAAAATCATAGGGATATTATTCTGCCCTAAACTTTGCAATAAGTTTAACATAGTTTTTTTTTCTGGTTGACTTCGGTTTTTCTGTGTGACTTGTTAACATTGCTGACCTTTTACCTGTCAATGTGGAAACAAGAGCCTGCCACGCGTAAATATATATGGGGTCAGGCAGTGGACAAAAGAGCTAACATACATATTACTCCCTGCCCAAAAGAGTGAATTTCTTGAGATTCTGTGTTTATTTTTATTTGTTAAATTCCGCATCACAGTAATCATAGGGTCCCATCAGTGATTTGCAGTCTCAGCCTCACTGGTTACAGTGAGGACTTTATCAAAACTGATCTTTTTACACTAGTGAAGTCAAAATATTTGGATTGCAGCTCTATTCAAAAAGCACACAGATGACAGGACTGTAAGCCCTGCGGTTAAAGGGTTTATGGACGTTGAGAATTTGAACCGAAATGTGGTGACCCTGATTTTTGTCGACTGCTGTGCCTGAAGGAAAAATGAAGGAAAAAAAAAACTTAATGTCAAGTTTCAAAGTTTCCAGTCTTCAGTGACCTTTTCAACTTTTTGCAGATCATTCGTTTCTAATCATGTTTCATTTTGGTGACTCAGACTGTGTACTTGTCCTCTCCATGTCTCTGTGTTTTGTGGTAGTGAATGTAGTTGCTGTGCAGCTCGTTGAACACCTCTCTGACCCCCGCATTTAACCCGGCTCTCAGAAACTTGATATCCTGCTCCATGCACAGGTCCAGTATGCAGTAGATGCCTTCAGTCAGATGCAGCTTGATGTCTGGCCGCAGGGTAACCTGCAGAAGCAGAGAAGACAGATTATAGAAAGAGAAAATAGAGCAGAGGACCTCAGGAAGAAAAGGGAGGTTTACCCTTCATAAATCATATTAGAACTATACTAAATTGAAGTCTTATCTTCATGGTTATGCAGCCATTGCTCAACTATTAATGCTTCCTGAATTCATGGGGTTATAATTAGAAACTTTTTTACATTTTCTACGTAACGGACCAGTCAAAGTGGATCATTAAAGCACTTTTACAAACATCTGAAAGGTTCAGTTAGCTCTGAAATATTTTATCGTGTGTTTTGTGAACAATTTTCTGGTCTTTTGACAGATGCTTAATTGGAGTCAGGTCTGAGCTTTAACTAGGCCGTTCCAACACCTAAACAGGCTTTGATCATTTTACAAAATGCAGTGGTTGCCCTTTAATAGAATATATATTAATATTTTGGTGCATTATGCAATGAAAGTTATTACAGACAAGTGTTTGGGTTCATCTTAATCATTATACAGTCATTATACATTTAATAATTGTATTTTCTTTCTCGGCTTTTATAGTCATTACACTGTCACAAGTACAGAGCAATGGAATTCACTCTCTGCATTTAACCCATACCCTTGGGGAGCATTGGGCTGCCATTTTGCAGCACCAGGGGAGCAGTTTGGGGTTAAGGGTCTTGCTCAGGGACCCTGAGTGTCAGTCTGTGGGAGTGGGGCTCAAACTCAGAACCTCAGGATTCCAAGCTCTATGCCCTAACCACTAAGCCGCCACTCAACTTCTTTTATGGACATAAAACTTGACTGAATAAATGCTAAACTTTGGTGGTTTAGTCTCCGCCAGTGACGCAGAGGTATTTAAAGAGAAAGATTTACGCCACTTCATTTTTTTCCAATGCATTGGTCATCCATAGTAGCCTTAATAAATCATTCTTGATAAATCAAGAAGTACAATAAAACAATTCTCCTTTAAATCACATAACCTCCACAGGTAAGGTGTAATTATTTTTGATTTAGAGAATTTAACATTACTAGCAAGAACCCTTCTTAAAAAAAGTCAAAATGAGTCACTTATTTAAATAATTTTTCCCTTAAGTGTATATACATGTTCCAGAGTAGGGTAGGCTTACAGAACTGAGGAGAAGTTAATCATACAAGGGTTAGTAGGAAAGAAATTATCTGAAGAGGGGCCTCATGCACAGCAGAGTGCCCAGCTTTAACCTTAGAGGTTTGCAGCAGCTAGAAATCTTTAAATCTGCTACATACTTTTCTCTTCAAACCTCCTAATTTGCATGGAAATCTCCACATGGAAAAGACAGTCCCCATCTATAAATAAATATGTAAAGTAGTACAAATACCTGGAAGGCCCTAACCATATGCATAAATTACCATGGTAACAATGTCAAACAAGGAACAAAAAAAGTAAAAAAAAATATATTAGATTCAAGGGTTATAAAACACAGGTGGTAGTTTAAAGGCAATCCTATTTGGAATGAAGACTGAAATCCTGTGGAAATTATACAGACTATTTACAAATAGGCCAGAAACTGTTGATTACTTAATCTAAAAGATACTTCTAGTAAATCAACATTACCAAATAAACATCCCGGCCCGGGGTCTTTCTGCATGGAGTTTGCATGTTCTCCCTTCGCATGCAGGGGTTCTCTCCGGGTACCACGGCTTCCTCCCACAGTCCAAAAACATGGCTGTTAGGTTAATTGGCTTATCTAAATTCTCCTTAGGTGTGAGTGTGTGCATGAATGGTTGTTTGTCCTGTTTGTCTCTGTGTTGCCCTGAGATGGACTGGCGACCTCTCCAGGGTGTACCCCGCCTCTCTCCTATAGGCTCTATGCACAACTCCACCATTTCCTGAACTTCAGGAGGCTCCTTTGTTTCCTGTCTTTCATGATTAGATGCACTGATTAATCCAAGTGTGTATGACCTAAGTAACTGGCCAGACACACCTGGATTAATCAGTTCGTCCAGTAATGAAAAAAAGGAAACAAAGGAGCTACCTTAAATTCAGAAAGTAGTGGAGCTGTGCATAAAGCCCATTGACTGCTGGAGATAGGCACCAGCACCCCTTGCGACCCCTTGGCCAGTGCACGTATCAGTCTATTTCTAATCAGGTTATAGAAGCCTCTTAAAATCTCTTGCAACACGCTTCCTACGACTTCTAGTGAAGTGAAGTGCCTCAGCATGGCCAAATCTATGGTTCCACAATTCCAGGCAGCTTTACAAAGCAGTTTCTGACTCTGTGTGGTTGTTTACCCCTGATCCAGCTTTGAAATCATTGCACTCACTTGTTAGCGTGCTGATCCTGTAACATGTTAAACTCTGTGAGTGCCGCTCTGACGGGCCTCATGCATGTCCAAGGCCTCAGTGCACTGGTTAACTCTCATTTACATCTTGTTGTGAAACCGGAAAAAAATACCACACACTTCCATGTAAAGTTGATTTCTGTACATCCTGAGTTTTGTGTGCAAAATTGCATCGTAAAGTTTTATTTTCTTCTATCAGCTCTAGATAAGGCATGAACCTCAGGAAAGACCTCTACAGTTTTATATTTTAATTTCCCAATAACGTTGTGCATATTCCTATTACATTTCCACCACTTAACAAGTCTTATATGGTTATATTTGCAAAGTACTTGAATAAACCTCTTGCTTTTAAGTCACACTATGTTTACATTGCAGAGTTAATTTTTAGCAGCCTTTACTACATAGGCTAAAGCTAGAGCCATTTTCTGTCTAATTTGTACATTAAATTCAGATCCTGCACTCCATATAAATGTGTGTAGGAGCAGAGGCGCTTTATTTCAGCAAGAAAACCACAGATGCAAAAACTGCTTTTCCTCCTGAGGGCAGAAAAACAATCAATTTGACTGATGAACCTTCCCAAGGATGGGAGCAGGACATTTAAAAGCTTCTGCTTATTCATCTCAGTTACCTTCACTCATCAGGTAAACAGGCGGCAAACCCTGTGATGAAGTGAGGAGCCGCCGCACTTCTCAGACATTTGTCATACACGATGGCCGCTCTGAGCGGTTTCTGCTAAATGATTTCAACACAGAGGTTCCCCTTACAAAGGAAATGACCAGTTATTTGTCACCACAGCAAAACATCAGCTGACGTGATGTTTAGCTTACAGAAATGCCTCATTATGCTATTAAACCTGAGTCTGCTTCTCACAAGTGTGACTACAACTGGGTTTCCTGGTTTCTGTACATTTTATCATAACCCAGGTCCTCTGGGTGCTTTTGTTTTATATTTACGTACAAAGCCTTTTTTAAGGCTCCTTTTATTTAAATAAACTGGAGGAACGACCTGCTGCAATAAGGGAAAATCAGGACAGGAAAATCAGGAAAAATGTACAAAAATACATTTTTTTATCTAAGAATATGAAAGGAATTACACTTTTAGTATGAATAAAACATGTGGCTTGATTTTACTTTTCAAAGGATTTCTGAAAATGATTGGAAGCACCAGATTATATTACTATTTTCATTAGTAATGAGGATAGTGTTTTTCTCCTCTTTTATCCATTACACATTTTAAATCAAATCAAATTCAAGTTAATACTTCCTATAAATATATAGATTCATAAATACACATTCATGCTTCTCAAAATGACAGATTCCACTCATTAAAATTAATTTCTAATCACTTAGTCTAGTTAATTTAATATGACACATAATATCGTCTCCTGTGGTCAATAAACAACCCCCCGAGAGGACAGGGAATTTTATTCAGTTTCTTCAACTTTTTAATCAGTTTTTTAATCCCTCCTACTAAGCATGAGGCAACAGTGGAGAGGAAGACTGATTTTTAACTGAAACAATCATCCAGAAGAACAAGGGACTGTGTGAGCAGCTGTCTGTAGCCACCAACTGGGGATTTGAGAACATTTGCATTAAAGTAAATATAAAGCATTGGAATCATCCAAAGATGGGGGATCTGGAGTTAATAAGTAATCTCTATCTCATTTGTTTGTTCTGCTCCGCCACTGAGTCCAATCTGCACAGGTTAATTCACTCTGCAAATAGGACCACTTGGTTCAGTGGCTGGGCAGAACAAACATATGACAGAGATGAATTGCTGGCTCCAG